AGTGAGCCTAGATAGTGTCACTGCACTCCAGCCTGGGGGACAGAGCAAAACCCTGTCTCCAAAAAAAAAAATTTGAGGATTCAAGAGGAAACGTTTTTCAAGTGATGAATTTTAAAAAGCTGTTTCTCTTTCTTTTCCAGTCCCATTTCATCTTTGTGTAAATCCTTTTTTATTTTACATATTTTTTCATCTTGAAAATGGAATGACATGCTGATTTTTTTTTTTCTTTGAGATGGAGTCTCGCTCTGTCACCCAGGCCAGAGTGCAGTGGCATGATCTTGGCTCACTGCAACTTCCACCTCCTGGGTTCAAGTGATTCTCTTGCCTCAGCCTCCTGAGTAGCTTGGATTACAGGTGCCTGCCCCATGTCCAGCTAATGTTTTTGCATTTTTAATAGAGATGGGGTTCCATTATGTTGGCCAGGCTGGTCTTGAACTCCTGACCTCAAGTGACGCACCCACCTTGGCTTCCCAAAGTGCAGGGATTATAGGCATGAGCCACCACATCTGGCAATGTGCTGATTTTTTTTTTTTTTTTTTAATTTTTATTCCAAGGTTCATTTCAGGTACATGCTGATTTTTAAAATTTGAGTTTTTACTTACTTACTATATTGACATCTTTACGTGTAAATGAAAGTATTGTTTTTTTTTTTAATTTTCAATTTATTTTTTTATTTAATTAGTCATTCAAAAATTTATTTATTTATTTATTTAGTTTTTAGAGTTGCGGCATTGCTGTGTTGCCCGGGCTGGATTTGAACTCTTGGACTTAAGCAATACTCACACCTCAGCTTTCTGAGTAGCTGGGACTACAGGTGCATGCCATTACACCTGGCTGCCCCCTTGGTTTTATCTCCTGTTTTGTATCTTAATTTCTGTGCCAGTGTGATTGCTTAAGGTCTCCAGGATTCAGCCTAATCTCTCAGGGTAAAAGCCAATTTTCTGTTGTCTTACATTCCTGAATTCCCAGTTTCACTTCACTTTGGGCCTTTGTGGAATCCTTCCTTTTGTGTTAGTTGAACAAAATGTTAAAAAACATTTTTTTGCTTTGTTTTTAATCAAGAGTGTTCAGGGTACCTACTCTTCATTATGCCAGTAACAGAAGTCTCTAGCTACAGTCTGCAACGTGGATGTGCCATAAAGTTTTAATCACTTTCTTATTAAAGCAGTGATTAAAGTAAGAAATAAATTCAATTTATTTCTACTTTCTTCCATGCTGAAAATTATGAAGTAAAATTTCATTAACTTTCATCACCAGTGGAGTGAGTCAAAGAAGCAAGATAGACTCATTCTTATGTCTTTTCTATGCTATTTAATTTGTGGATACCCTGAAATCTAAATGCTACTAGAATATATTTTTAGATACCCTCTAAAAATTTCCCACCCAAAGTGAACTTGCCATAAGCATTTTGTTGTTTCTGAATAGCATATATCTAGGTGACCATACTTTGGAAAGTGTGTCCACAGTGCAGCAGTGCAACTGATCTGGGATTGTGTTCTGGGCAGGTGAACAATAGTTTTGATTCATACTGAGTTATAAGAAAGTGGAAGTTGTAGCAAACTACAGGACGATTTAGAAAACAGTCTGGTGTTTCTCAAATCAAAACCAAAAGCCATCAGAAATACGTTTTCAGATGGCATAATTACAAAAAAATGAGGAAGTGAAATAGGTTACAAGTCCTTGAGAGTAGACAGTGCAGAGGCACATGGCACTGTTTTCCAGGTCGAAGAAGAGGCCTTTTACAAAGCATCAACTCTAATTCAGGTTATATAATCCTGACTATTGTAGCATATTACTTGCATACTGTTTGTCATATGAGAATACTTTGCCTCTTCATGTTTTATTTTTCCTTTTTGGTACATTTTGAACTCCAGAATTCTTTATTTACTATTTGGCTTTCCATAAACAATCAGGCGGGATAACTATGAGATTTTCTACATTGAGAAACTGTGTACATAATATTTGCTTATAATAACACTCATCATGATAAATCCTTTCTCTTCACATAGTATCTGATAATCCAGTGCCTTTTTAAACAATAAGAAAGATATTTTCCAAAGACTTTTTTTCAGAAATCAGATGTTTCTTGGAGCCGTTTCCAGTCTGTATACAATATATCTTTACCATTTTTTCAATTGAAGACTAAACCAAACTTTCCATAAGTTTTGTGTTTGATGTTTTGCTGTGTAACTACTCTTTGGGGTAGACATTTGCATTTATCCAACACTCATCCTTGTTTAAAACTTGCATGGCTGAGATGTCCTTAGGCTTATAGTAGTAAGTTGGCCTCCTTCGGCGGAATCTCTCTGGCCTTTGAAGTTGGCACAGTCTAATATAGCTACCTCAAGGGATGTGTGGCCATGGAAAAACATGTTTTTGTTGTTGAGTGTTCTTGCTTTCTAGTAATTTTATTTTCTGCTCAAGAGATTTAGTATCTGTTCAGATACTTTATTTTTAAAGGCCACATAAGTAGTGACTTGACCTCTAATCTTAGCTTTGAAATTTTCCCAGACACTAATAAAGATGATGTCTGATGACCTATTATTTGAGAATAGTACTCATTGGTTAGCTAGCAATGCTATTTAAAAATGTATTTTTTATGCAAAAATTATTTCCAAGGCTAAAAGACCTTCTCAGTAAAATCATACATATAATGACATAATTTGGTGACTCTTGCACCTTGTTTTAAAATAGATTTTACACAGTATTACTGAGACTTAATACTGTTCAAAACAGCTCTTTTCCTCAAATACAAATGTGAGTTAGTTCCGAGAAAAATATTCTGTAAACCATAATCTTATCAGAAATAGCACCCGTCTCTTGGATCCAGTAAGAACATTTTAGACAGGAAGGGTTCTGTAGTAAAAGACCTAGGATTAATCCTTGTTTTGCATGAATGTGGGCTGTCTTTCCCATAAATATACAGTAAGGTTTTTACAAAGGATCAAGTTACTACTGAAGACCAAGGTTATCAGTTAAATTACCTGGGCTGGCCACATCAGGATGTAAGCTTAATAATTAGTGGAGTAAATAAGTTTATCAGATTGTATTAATATGTGTAGTAACGCTTAGTTATGAAGAAGAGGGGAAAAGGCAGTTACTTTCCAGGTGTTGGGGCATAGTTAATTGCCTTTTTTGGTCTGTTTTTACTTGTCTTATAATAACAGACTCTTCTTGATAAGAACCCACCTAGGCACAATGATGTTTTTGTGGGGTTAGCAGAGGAAACTGCGTATTGCTACCTTGATAAGTTTTCTTGTTTGGCTTTTTGTTAAGAGATGATGTTTAGTTTTTTGTTGCTGAACTCTGTTAGTGCAAAGAGAAGAAAAATCTTGCTTAACTTAATTAATTTCAATGTTCAATTGAAATCTATTTTAGCCTCCTTAGCCCTAAAAGAGATTTGCATAATTGGGGTTTTCCCTTGGTTCCAGTGGAAGGGAAATATTTCAGTTCACTTACTTGAGGCTATAAAAGTTTGTTCTTCCTTTCCCTGCAGCAAGAATTGTGGACATAAAGTAATAAAACAGATTCAGTGCTAATTTTTAAAACTTCTCCTTATTTCCAACCTCATCAGTGGTAAATAATGTGCCTGACTATAAAATGGAAAAAGTTGAAAATTTCCACTTGTACATTTTGAGCTTTTCAGAGGTACTATACACTCTGGAAATAATAATAAAAGATACCAGGGCTTATACAGTGCTTTTTGTTTGAGGAACTCATATAAACACTAATGCATTGATCCTAACACAGTACTTGATTGTGACTTTAAAAGGTCATGAGTTACTGCTGTTACAAAAAAAAAAAAAAAAAGATGGAGGGGCGCTCTACTTTACAAATATTGTTTAAAAAATATGTAGATAAAAATTGAAACAGATAACTGAAAAAACAAAACATATAGGGTATTTTTTTGTTGTTTGTATGTTGACTTTTCTTTTAGCCTATGAAATATTTTTATTCCTTTATTATTTTTTACTGTTGCATATGAATCTACTTGAAGACTGATTTTCTTTTCCTTTCTTTTTT